GATATTTGTCTTTTTCGTTCCTCCTTCTGATCATGGTATTTATCTCCACTACATACATCTACCAGTTTACTTGACCCATTGTTTTTTTCCGTTGCCCTTTCTAATAGCTGTCACGTTAAACATGGTAAAAGGACGTAAATTGTGCTCTGTTGTTCGTTAACTATAATTTTAGGTATTTTGGTTGGTAGTTTACATCAACTCTATTTAGCCATGTTATTCAAAGAGAGAAAATAAAGAGAGCACAGAATGCATGAGAAGCAAGATACTAAAGGTTATTAGTTTGCCTCAAATTTATTGACTTTTTTTCTGCCAAATGTCTAGGGATATTCCACTCACAGTAGACTGCTGTTTTTTTTTATATTGTCAATTCAGTAGTCTGAGCTTCAGTTTTTATACAATTTTATCACGTAACTATCCCCTTCTCAAATTTTCCATTGATAAAATTATGAAATTTTATGAAATGTAGATTGCAACATCCTCAGGTGTATTCGAGTCCCTTATAGTTAGGTATTTATACACTCAACAACTAAAGAAGCGCACAAACTCTATTAATTTCTCTTTTTCTTTTTATAATATTTTTTTTTTTTTTATTTTGATATCTAAAAGAAACACTTTTGCAACCGAAAAACGAAAAATGTACTCAATTGGTGAAGAGTCTCTTGTATCTTTTGACCTGAAAGTCAACAAAATTTACTTTAATGTTCCGTTTATAAATCAAACGATTTTTTTCCAAAGTCCAATCTGAAATAACTTTGTCTTTAACTTATTTTGGATTAAACCCCCATTATCGCCATTTAAACAAACCCGTGTATTGATTCAAAGCTTTTATTAAAAATACTGGAGTTTTAAACATTTTTGGCAAAATCAAGAAATGATGAAACTACACATTACATTGGACAAAGTGTATTAGTTGTGGTGTGAAGTAGACATTATTTGCTTTCAAATATTAGTTTTTTCCTTAGCGTTCCCGATACAGATTTTTTAACAAAAGCATTTCGGGAGCACAAAATTCATATCAAGTGCTATTTTCGTATTTCTCTCTGATGTCTTACAACCAGAATATTTCCATCAAATAGACCGGAATTTTCTTAGCATCACACTATAAAGCAGATATGTTGTATCATATGTAATAGAATGCCAAAAAAGGCGCAAGCCAGGGCCGACCGTGAAAGGGATGTATAGCCAGTCAAGGTCTTTAAAAACTTCCATTTGTATGTAATAGTTAAATTCATCATTAACACTAGGATTGAAACTGTGTACAAGACTCACAGTGACGCTTGACTAAAAAAAATATATAAAAAAGGGCAGATAATTTTCGGCGTTTAAGAGCATCGGGGACCTTTAATTCCTCAAACTTTTGATAAATACAGCTAAGTTAATTTCTTCTTGGGGATTTTAAGGAGATAATAATTGGCTAATTATCACATTATACCCGACTTAAGGCTTACATCGTTGTTTGAATTTGAAAACGTAACCATCAATAACACTTACACATTTGATTTAATTGGGCTATTCTATACCTTAATAGACATTTTATGTTCTGTAAAAGTCGTGAAATTCCAAATATGTTTTATTACAATGTTCCTTCATTGATATTCCTTGTATGCTATTAAATTATTATATGAGGTTAATTCTCTCTATGTTTTATGAAATTAATCCCTGTTTTCTATAGGCAGCCATTCGGGTAAAATTGAACAAAATTTTAAAAACAGACGTTGAAATACAAAAAAAAAAAACAGAAGTCATAAAACGAAAACAGACATAAAACTTCAAAAACAGACGTTAAATTGAAAAAAGCAGACATCAAAAACGAAAACAGACATACAATTAAGATAAAACAAACAGACAACAGAGGTCTAATACGAAAACAGACATACAAATAAGGAACAGACGTAAAAAATAAAACAAACAGAGATCAAAAACGAAAACAATAAAAGAACAAAAACGAACAGGTGTCACCACTTCTTCTTTGATCTTGAGTACTACTACTTTTGTAGTGTAATACGGGTAAGTAGCTTTACTATAAGCAACTGTGTGCATGTGCAGGAAACAATTTACAATAAGAATTTTAGAGCAGAAAACAGTATAAGTACGCCTATAAATCAACACTGCCAAGTGTACCCACCACTAAGTTAAAATTGCAATGGCAGATTGTCAAATCCAATTATAAGCTAGGAATTTTATCCCAGCAAGGTGCTCAAGTCAAAACCCGAAGCACACGAGGCATACAACTATATAAATCACCATTTTACGTACAGTGATCTGCGCCATCACCATACTATATACATTTAGACTGTCCTTTAAAGGCACAATTGTTATAACCTTAATGAAGCACTAATCTATGTACATCACTGTATACGTAAAAGTCTATGCACTATGTCATTCACTAAAATCGAAAAGGACCTTTCGTGTCACTAAATTATCAAAGTTACTGTTACAATCAGTTACTCTATACACACATCATTAGAGTATGCATTATATAGGTTTTTACTTTCTTTTGTTCATTCAAAGCCAATAACACACCTCTATATGTACTTGTCATAAGTCGCTTGCACTGCAACTGTAAACTTATAACTCATATTTCAATGAAGAGATACAATAAATTGAATTAAGGAAACAGATTTTTTTAACGGACAACGATTTTGTGCATAGCTCATAGCATGGGTTGCATAACTAAATATATATATATACTTTAACATAAACATTCATATATATGCTCAGAAATATAAAAAAAGTTTAACTTATACCTTATTAAGGACCATTGCAAAGATTTTATTTATTTCACTAAAATAGTAACCACTTAATCATTTACATACACCACAACCTTCACTGATATAATCATAACCATAAGAATTGCAAGAATAAGGAAACAAAGCCTAGTACCCTAAACAACTTATTGTTAATTAAAGTCTTAATTTAAAAGAAATACTTTTAATATATTATACCAAACAGTTTCAAATGACATTGCTACCCTAACTGCTAGCTAAACTCAGTATGGCACATCTTCTATGATGTCAGGCATATACCTTTCTCTTGAAATGGCCTCTGTTATCTCCATCAATAAGATAGTCTGTATTTATATTTGAATTTGTGGACTTGACACAAAAAAAAATCACTTTCAATAGCACTGACTTGTTCAAAAAGACTAGATTGTTCTATTTCAATGATCAATGTCACATTGCAGAGTTCTTAGTTTTGTTATTAACTCTCTTCTCACGGTATCAGTTTTGTTGCACTGTAGCGAGAAATGTCCAGTACTTCAATGTCAGTAATACACAACGGGCATATCGCACTTACTTCATACTTATTCAATCTCTTACAATTTGATTGCAGTGTATACACATCTGCCTTTAATCTAGCTTTAACACACACTTTCTTAAAGGAGTAGAATCAAGTCCTGTATTGGTTCATATATTATAAACAGTGTCTAATTTATTGATATTGGAGTTAAAAAACAAGGAGTAGATTTTCTTTCTGCCATCATCATTATTTTTGTTTGTGACCTCTGTTTTTAATTCTTTAATGTCTGTTTTTTTTTTTTAATTTAATGTCTGTTTTCGCTTTTGAGGTCAGTTCTTTTATTACGTCTGTTTTTAAAAGTTTGTTCATTTGAGCCCAAATGGCTGGCCATAGTTTTCAAGGTTGAAAAGCAAATTCCCCAACATCTTCGTTAAAGCATAGTTTTAAAGTAATGTAAAACTGTTGAAGAAATTTTGAACGAATACACACATTTTTATGACATCATAATACGAACATGATCTACAGGCAATTTACATTGACATACATTAGAGCCGTAGGATTTGTAACGAGGATATTTTACTTCTTGAGAATATTTGTTGAAAATAGGAACTGAAACCATCTCGAGTGTTACGTTTTGAGGTATCCAACAGATGAAGAAGCTTATTATGAACAGAACATTTTGTTCGGAATAACAGTTATTTACTGAGATATCAGACTACTAACTGATATAAGGAAAACCGATAGAAGTGAAAGATAAAAGTGTAAAATAAAGATACAAAGCTACCAAGACGGCAATCAACACCATAGGTGTGAGACAGACATTACCATAACAAAACAAAGAATATCAAAACTCAACAAATTACCTGGAGATTGAGCAACTTATATGTAATGCCCACAAAAAGGGTGTTTTCACATGTGATCAGGGAGAATATGGAATTTCCTGGCAAAGTAGAGGCATTCGTGATTTGGGTAATGCCAAGTAAAATTCAGTGATATGTCATTGTCATTGAACGGTCATAAATAAGGAAAGAAGGTCTAAATTGTTTCTAAGACAAGGCCGTTAAACACATCATGATGACATTCCGAGGATGTTTGAAAAGTTAACGTGGTTTTTACTAATAAATACATGCATTATTATTCAAGACAATAATGATTGGAAACACTATGGAATATTGTATTGAATAGAATGGGAAATATATACTTCATAAGAGTTTGGCGTTGCAATATTGCTAAATCATAATGTGCCAATCTGATGAGTCAAGTTTTTTTTTCCAGCTGATTATATAGCTTTTTCTTGCATGTATGTTGTGCTTTGACACTTATGCCCCATATTTGGGGAGGGTTGGTCTCGGCATTTAAGTTTAACACTGTCACATTATGTATAGATCTATCGCAAGTCAGAAGCCTTTAATACAGTGGGTGTCTATTGTTGCCGTTTTTGTTTACAATAATTAGGTCGTTTGTTTTTTCGTTTGAATTGTTGTTTATGTGTCATGTCGGGGCTTTTACAAACTGACTATGCACTATTGGATGTGTTCATTGTTTGGAGCAGTACAGTGACCTATAGTTGATAAATTCTATGTAATTTTGTTTCTAGTAGAAAGTTGTCTGATTGGCAAACATGTCACATTTTCTTATGTTCTACAATTTTAACTTCAAAAACACAATGTATTTTAAAATAAATGGAAATGGGGTAATGGATTGAATTTTGGCCACTGAATCGCTGTTAAAACAGCAATGATTGATGAAAAATATAACAATGTTGCTACAATCATTTAATCTGCATTTTGACGCGTATGTAGAAAACAGTGTCTAAATCAGTCATCTTCCTGTGGATCATCCACGTAACGCTCATGGATATCATCCATAACCTCATTATCATCATTCATATCGACATATCGTTCGTTTAAATGTCGGTCTTCTAGGTCCACGTTCTTTATGTCGTCATCTGAAATATTGTTTTAAATAAATGATGAAAGACAATTTGAAAGAAAAGAAAGTGATCAAGTTGGCGTAAACATGTAACTGTTTATTTTTGAGCAGCTAAAACTTTAAATACAGTTTTATAAAGCGTGTCGTTGTCCACTAATAATTATTGTTTCATTAAAATACGTAATTTTCATTGAGTGATAACCAATTGTGAGGCACTCCAATATCGAATTTTATTTCCGTGTAAAAAAAACCCAGCTATGACTGCACATGCTACCCGTGTCAATGTAAGACAATGCATCAAAAACATTCAAAAAGCTTGATATAATTCTCTTTTTCATGGTTGTTACATAGGAATATTATTATAAGAAATGTAGTGCTTCTTTTTATAATTTTATAGGGTTGTAAAAACGTTCATCGTATGCACATTATTAGAATGAAGAGCTTCGGTTAACGCTTTTACACCTCAATACAATTAAAAAAAGAAGCGTTCAATTCTATATTGCATAATATTTACTTCAAACAAACATTTCTTATACAATTTTAAACGGATATAACAGTCCGTGTTGACCTATAAGGTAGGGTTAAAAATATATATACTGGCGTTTAATGATATTGCTCTCTAGATATTGACAAGACGTCCTATGTTCCTACCAAACGTTCTCAAGATATCTTGTAATAATAAATTAAGTTGAAAGTATATTCCGTATGACGATTCGGAAAAGTTATGAAAATGTTTGTGTTAGCTTGAGTAGCTCTCACTTACTGAATGAATGTTTGTTATACATGTTAGATTAGCAAGATAATATGTTACTTGTCATAGTTTTTCCATCCAAACCGTTCAAGAAGTGTTGAAAAAAGAAAACCTACGTTTCATGTTCTTAACAAACAAGTTATTCCCCTTACTCATATTACCTGTGATTCCGCTTTCTAAATAGCTAATTTTCTGGTTTAAATATAAGTAATTAAAAAATTAAAGTACTTTATTACCTAGCTTATTGTAGTTTCGCATTTTTGCCCTGTTTTTCCAATTATGTCCCAAATATTATGATCAAGTTAGTAGTCGTCTTATTGATAACTGCACTGTCTGTGCAATAATTACTGTTTCCCTTTTTGTGCATTATTAGTAAACAAAGCTATGTTTCATTGTGGTTGTATTGATGAAGAAAGATCATATGTATGTAAAAATATGTATTACGTGTTACCAACAACGTTTATATATGGAATTTCTTTTTTCTCAAACTTTGTAAATGGTATGACTTTAATACAGAATGAAGGATTTCTATTCATGCTTTCAGAAATACGCAATGTTGGTTTAAAAAATGTATGTACCTTGATTTTCGTCGATAAATGTGACGCTTTTTCGTCCTCTATAAATTGTAGGACGTGGATGCCATCTTCTAATCGGTGGCCATCTTCTGATCGGTGGGTATCCTCTTACGGGTGGCCGCCAAGGCCCCCACCTAGTTCCTTCGCACCAATCAATTAAACAATAGGCGAAAACAATAGTCAGTAGCAGACAAACATTTACTTTCATTTTCAAACTGAAAGATTGAAAAGATTTTTTTTTATTGTTTAGATGAAATAGTCAATTAAATTAATTTCGGTTATAAATATTTTTTTATTATTAATGTTTAATCGTTTACACTACTAGCTAGGTGCCACGCCACAACAAACAAAAAAAAAAGAACAGAGAAGACAAGCGACAGTCTACAAATACATCATATAAAACTAAAGACAGACCAAAGCCGAACCCCATTAAAAAAAGACTCGGTGATATCAGATGCTCCGGAAGCGTATGCCGATCCTGCCCCACATGTGGTATCATTAAGATATGCCTATTCATAAATACTAAAAAATCATGGTTCTGCTCAAGTATCTTAATAAATTTGTTTACCAACTTTAATCATACATTTTGCTAATCAATGAAAACTGATATATTATTTGCAGTAAATATATTAATCGTATAATAATGTAGATTGATATTGTGTGTATACAATTGTACACTACATTTTTGTGGAAAGAAATACAATGAACTCCTACCCATAATAATACGTAGAAAAAAGACGGACAACGCGCAAGTAACACTATCCCCAGAAAAAAATATAACTAAATAATAAACAACTTATCAAGTAATTAAAAACGACGAAAACACTGACATGTAATCAAAACACCATAGAGAAAATATCACTGAGAAAAATACCCCTACACAAATTTGAGAACGAAAATTAATTGTTTTGTTATATATTCTTTGCCAACAATTATTTGGATTGGAGTGTTAATGTTGAATGTAAATCGGGAAAAGCACTGGGAACAAACAGGATTATCAAATCAACAAATAAACTACAGATGCCACATGTGAAGCAGTATCTGCTTAACCGTCCTGAACACACGAAATTATCCATGTTGTAAGGTTTGTGTTACCCAGTTTTGAGTTTTATTTGTTGTTTGTCTTTTGGTCGTTTTTTTTTCTCGGTTTTTGCCACGGCGTTGTCAGTTTCTTTTCGACTTTTAAGTTTAAATTTGTTTTGTATCTTCCACCTCTTTTGTTAAAGCGAATGAACTATTAGTCCCCGACAGTAATGTTAACTCAGTAGTCCAAGCTTTAATACTGCCTAGATTTAGAAAACAATTATAGCTCTTCACGTATTTCGGCTCTTATACATCCGTGGTTTTTATACATTTGGCATTGAACATTCCAAATGAAGAAACATTCAGAAAAGAACTTCGAACGCATAAAATCATAAAATGTTTTTCTGTCTTCATCTTCTAAGCCGACAAACATCCTTTGCTTTCAAATATTTTGGTTTGCACATTCCCGTTGAAGTTTTATCCATAGAAGCACTTCGAACGCAAATCATTAATGTAGGTTTTACTAGATTATTTTATTCTCGTTTATATAACACTACTAGTGCACAAAAATCCACCACGTTATCATCAGCTCAGTATTCAGGGCTTCAGTACTGACATGATCATTACAATCCTTTCTTAAATCTACTGTTTGTTAATATTAAGTATACATTGTACATTAGTTAATTGAATATTATAGATATAATGTAAAAAACTAAGGATCCAACTTTCTTAGGTGAATATAACCTTAGATTCATTTGGCTCTTATCTTTAGGCCAATGTCGGTTATGTGGTTATACAATTCACGTGCCTCTGTACTTATAAATCTTTTAAATTTAAATATTTGGCTATGCATGTTCCTGGTGAAGTGGAATCCAGAAAAGCGTGTTGAACGGAAACAACTGATAAAGTATTATTTTCATTTTTTCAACGTTGGTATACGGTTTTTGGATTATCTTATATTGGAACCTCGAAAATCAGTTTATATACATCGATTGTCGAAATGCCTATGTGTTGCAGTAAAATGTTATACGCTACAATTAAACAAAGTATGCTATAGACTACAACTGAAAAATTATTCAGTCATACTTGTATTTAAAGGCCACGCTTGCGACAAGAGAAAACTGACCTTATAGCAGAAATGATTTTTTAAAATAAGGTTCAAAATACATAGATATTACTACTGAAGGACAAGAAAAGTGTGACTTTGAAAGACAGGTTTGTCTCAATAGAGGCTACTTTAAAATTAGGATGCCATCATCTATTGACAAAGAACCCTTCGTCAGAATAATCAGACACACCTAAGACAACAATGAAATTATAGTTTAATCAAACTAAACATTCTTAAACAATATATATACCATACTCTTTCACAACAGTTAGTATAAAACTTACCTATGTGTCTGTATCTAAGTTGCAATTTTTCCAGCAGTAGTAATCAGGTTACTTTAAATTTGTTTATTGAAAACATTATTTTGACTATTTATGATAAATACAAAATATCAAAGATACAAACACATATCGTATCAGCTGTGACAACTAAATACAGTCATATTTTCAAGGAATAAGACAGTTTCTGACTAAAATATATCCTTTCTTGGTAGTGTTTGTAACTAGAAAATAACATATACGAGCTGGAGGTAAATGTTCTGAAAAAGTCCTTTTTTGGAAGCGTGTATAATTATGTATGCACTGAAAAACCATAAACGGAATGACAGATAGCACCTGAATTGTTTTAAAATATTTGAAAACGTAATGGATTAATCATTTTAATAAGTTTTAAAAAAAGAAAAAGAAACCTTGCTTTTTTAATAGTTTATAAATCTATAATTGTTTTATCTATAGAATGGAGAACCGTAACTTAATTCAAAAGATTCTTTTACAGTATTTTAATGTCTTACACTGTAATACATCTCGAAGTTTACTTTGTTTGCTTTTTACACAATAACATTAATGTGTATCTCATTGTAAATATATTAATCAGGGAAGAAATAATTTTAATCAGCCTTGTAAGTATAACTTTTCAAACAATACTATCAGTACTTGACCTTAGCATCTTACATATCTTACAATTTACACGAACTTGATGCTGCTATTTCATTTGTATTGAAATTGAGTAAAAATTATAAATTTACTAATCTAGAGTAGCTAGATATATTTCATGTAACGTGTAAAAGTCAGTTAGAAAAGTAGACAAAGATAAAAAGTGAAAACAAACTGAATGAGCTGTCCTAGTTGAAACACATTTTGGACACCAATTAACCAAGCCCATGAGTTGTGATGAAACAATAAATGCATTCTATCAACAACATAAGAACTCATGTTTGCTCTGACAGTTGCCATTATAATAATTTTTGAATGATTTATTTAAATTTTGTTATCTGTAATGCACCCGAGTTCATTGCGTGACTTGCAATTTGATATAGTATATCATGTAATGCATTGTTCATATTGTAAATCACAGTTTAACAGTTTAAAATTTCGATATATATAAATATTGTAGATAAATACAAAAATGTACACGAATGGTTAATTATTGTCATATTAGGTGTTGATACTCAAATATTAAAAATTAAAAGGTCAAATTTACAATATATATAGTCGTATGTCACGCAACTTACAAGCTGTCGCTAATCATCAGTGATATAACATTTTATCAAATGAAACTGTAAAATGAAATAAACAAATTTGTCTATACTTAAGTTTAGAATAAACAAGTAAAATATATTATGACGAAGATTTATACATGTTATATGCAAGTGAAACTTCATCTTAATCTAAAAAGAATGTCTTTGGTAGGTTGAAAGACCGATCATACATATAAATATCATAATGGAGCATCTGTAGTTATTTGATAAATTGCAAGAGACAATTCATTCCAAATGGAAAATTAGATTCTGTGAACACCTCAGTGAAATCTGGTCAGTGGTATTAAGGAATCTGTAGTCAAATCCATATGTTTTAACTATTGTTAAATAATATGCACCGTTTAATTAGTGACGTTGATTCTTTGACATAAAATTTCTGGTTTATATTATGATTAGGTGATTCTTTGATACATAAACCAAATTAGGCGGGCTGACACGCAAACAAATGAACGAACTTAAATATGGATTGACGGACGTCCGTTGCTTCTTAACTGGACATTGATCCTTGAATCTTTCACTGATCACTATCGTAATATTGAGTTTAGGTCAATTTAATAAAAGTTTGAATTTTTAATACAGTTTTCCTGATGTTCCCGGAGTTTAAATGTCCTCCTTTCCCTTTTGCCTGTATGTTGTATATGTACAGTTAGGAGAACTTATTATCCTTCTTCCTATCGATACTGTTCACTTATATTTTCATGATTGTGGCATTGCAAAAGCTCATGCGTTTCTCATACTGTCTATGACGACTTTACACTAAATCCGTTGGACGTGTACTGATTAATGAATATGTTTTATGATTTATTTATATGTATTAATTGAATTAGAACTAGCTTCCAGTAACTGCAAGTACCTATTGCGGTGCGTTGTGTCTATTGTTTTATGTTAATTGTGATTATGCCACGTACCGATCCTTTGAGTTAAGCCAGTTGAAACTGATGTGTTCTTATGCTGTGCTGTTATATCACTGTCCCAGGTAGGATGTATGATTGGGCGGTCGCACACATGTTTAGTCCTATTCTTTATGTGCCTGTTTCAAGTCAGAATGATACATTTCAGTGGATGTCTTTGGTTCTTTTCTGTCGTATTCATTTTCCGTAAAATATTTTCTTATAGATCAGGTCATCAGTTTTCTCTTTTGAATTGTTTCACATTTTCACGTCTGGACTTTTCATAATCGACTATACGGTATGGGTTTTACACATTGTGGAAGCCCGAACAGTTACCCACCTACTTCATTTGACCTCCTAATTTTTATATTGACAAATAAAAGCTGACACAGAGTTCATACAGAAAATTCCTCCACATCCCCAACCATTAATATAAGAATTGAATACAACTTTTAGTAAACATATTCGGATGTAAACGTGTTAACACTGGCACATTTTGTCTGATGCGCTCTATCAACGCTTAACAACCCTATAATATTACATAAAGAAGTTTTTAATATTTTTCTAAATTTTTTGTAGTAATAAATCTAATTTCTAAAATGATTCCCTATTCCCGTCCTCGAATGTGACATACCGAATAAGACTTATCACAGTGCTTGTATCAACACGAGGAACACCACGTTGCCAAAAAAGGAGCAAGGTTTACTAAAAGTTGTATTCAATTCTTATATTAATGGTTGGGGATGACAGTAATATTAACTCAGTAGTCAGAGCTTCAATACTGACTAGATTTAGAAAACAATTATAGCTCTTCACGTATTTCGGCTCTTACACATCCGTGGTTGATTTTTATATATTTGGCATTGAACATTCCTAACGACTAGAAGCAAACAACAGATCAAAACAGAACATATAAAACCAAAGACGGGGGAGATAGTGTTACTTGCGTTGTTCGTCTTTTTTCGACGTATTATTATGGGTAGAAGTTCATTGTATTTCTTTCCACAAAAATGTAGCGTACAATTGTATACACTCAATATCAATCTACATTATTATACGATTATAATCTTTAATGCAAACAATATATCAATTTTCATTAATTAGCATACTATATGATCAAAGTTGGTAAACAAATTTATTAAGATACTTGAGCAGAACCATGATTTTCTAGTATTTATTAATAGGCATTTCTTATTGATACCACATGTGGGACAGGATCTGCATACGCTTTCGGAGCATCTGATATCACCGAGTCTTTTTTTACTTGGGTTCAACTTTGGTCTGTCTTTAGTTTTCTATGATGTATTTGTAGACTGTCGTTTGTCTTTTTCGCTCTTTTTTTTTTGGTTTGTTGTGGCGTGGCACCCAGCTAGTAGTGTACACGATTTAGCTTTAACAATACAAAATTATTTTTAACCGAAATTAATTTCATTGGCTATTTCATCTAAACAATAAAAAAAAAATCTTTTCAATCTTTCAGTTTGAAAATGAAAGTTAATGTTTGTCTGCTACTGACTATTGTTTTCGCCTATTGTTTAATTGATGGGTGCGAAGAAACTAGGTGGGGGCCTTGGCGGCCACCCATAAGAGGATACCCACCGATTAGAAGATGGCTACCGATTTGAACTTGGCATCCACGTCCTACAGTTTATAGAGGACGAAAAAGCGTCACATTTATCGACGACAATCAAGATACATACATTTTTTTAAACCAACATTGCGTATTTCTGAAAGCATGAATAGAAATCCTTCTTTCTGTATTAAATTCATAACACTTACAACATTTGAGAAAAAGAAATTCCATATATAAACGTTGTTGATAACGTAATATATATTTTTACATAAAGATGATCTTTCTTCATCAATATAACCACAATGAAACATAGCTTTGTTTACTAATAATGCACATAAAGGGAAACAGTAATTACAGCACAGACAGTGCAGTTATCAATAGGACGACTACTAACTTGATCATTATATTTGGGACATAATTGGGAAAACAGGGCACAAATGCGAAACTACAATAAGCTAGGTAAAGTACTATAATTTTTTAATTAATTATATTTGAACTAGAAAAAACAGCTATTCAGAAAGCGGAATCACAGGTAATATGAGTAAGGGGAATAACTTGTTTGTTAGGAACATGAAACGTTTGTTTTCTTTTTTCAACACTTCTTGAACGGTTTGGATGGAAAAGATTTGACTAGTAACATATTATCTTGCTAATCTAACATGTATAACAAACATTCATTCAGTAATTGTGAGCTACTCAAGCTAACACAAAACATTTTCATAACTTTTCCGAATTGTCATACGGAATATGCTTTCAACTTAATTTATTATTACGAGATATCTTGAGAATGTTTGGTAGGAACATACATGTGTAGTATGTCTTGTCAATATTTAGAGAGAATTATCATTAAACGTCAGTATATATATTTTTTAACCCTACCTTATAGGTTTATACGAACCGTTATATCCGTTTAAAATTGTATAAGAAATGTTTGTTTGAAGTAAATAATATGCAATAAAGAATCGAACGCTTCTTTTTTTAATTGTATTGAGGTGTAAAAGTGTTGACCGAAGCACTTCATTCTAATAATCTGCACACGATGAACGTTTTTACAACCCTATAAAATTATAAAAAGAAGCATTACATTTCTAATAATTATATTCTTATGTTACAACTATGAAATAGAGAATTATATCAAGCTTTTTGATTGTTTTCGATGCATTGTTCTAACATTGACACGTGTAGCACGTGCATGAATAACTGTGTTTTTTACACGGAAATAAAATTAGATATTGGAGTTCCTCACAATTGTTGTCAGCCAATGAAAATTACGTATTTTAATGAAACAATAATTATTAGTGGATAACGACACGCTTTATCAAAATGTATTTAAATTTTTAGCTGTTCAAAAATAAACAGTTAAATGTTTACGCC